TTGATTCCATGATTCTATGATTCTATGCTTTAACTAATCCCAATATTTAATGGAGTTTTAGCAGAAACTGAAAACAAAAGGTTGTTTTGTAAACAGGTACATTTGCTGTAGTTATACCTGTCCCTTCCCTCTCTAATTTCCCCAACTGGAAAGGAAGTGCACTGAAGGAAAGCCAAATTTGAACTTAGGTAGCATCTGATATCGTCAATCAAGTGAGGCAGGGAGGACAGAGGACAAACCTTGGTGATGGGAGAATTGTAGTAGAAATGTAGAGGAAAACAAACCCAAAGATTAAAACGTGGCACATTCTGATCCTGAATTTGACCTCCTGTCCACTCAAGTTAACTGGTGTCCAGGTTAAATATTTCACATAAACACTCTTTAAAAACTGAGACTCCCATGGCAAAGGCTAGAAAATTGCACTAGAAACTTGAATGGTGTTAAACACTCATTTCACTCAAGGTAAAAGGTGCTTTTTCCCCTAGAATGACTCACAAAAATAAGCTCAGTTACTAACTGTAATCTAGAACTGAAATGATGGTAGTTAGGAATTGGAACTGGAATTGGCTGCTGAGGCACTGGCACAGGTTGCCCAGAGAAGCTGTGGTTGTCTCATCCCTGGGAGTGTTCAGGCCAGGTTGGATGGGGCTTGGAGCAACCTGGTCTAGTGGAAGGACCTCCTGCCCGTGGCAGGGGTGGAACAGGATTAGCTTTAGAGTCCCTTCCAATCCAGATCACTTTGTGGTTCTTTGATATCTCCAACATTAACATTTTAGTGTTAGAAGTTCTGTCTGTTGAAGGCATTGAATGTTTAGCGATAGCTCAGCAGAATTTGCTGCACAGGACAAATACACTCACAGTAAAGTTCATGACTTAACTCAGCCCCATAGTTCCCAGCTAACTAAGAGATTCTTGGTCTCTTGGAGAAGATGAGCAGAAGTTCAGATGGATACCAAGCTCTCAGTTTTCCTCTATTTCCTTTGACTGCCCCTCATTTTCCTGTTTCTGTTTCTTCCTGTCCCCAGTGTATATTCAGGTCACCAGTCCATCCTAGTCCCTCCTCTGGAGCTGGAGAGCAACGTGTCTCTGTGGCTGTCTGCTGTCAGTCAGTACAAAGTGCGTGTCACCTTCTGCTCATACTCTGTGATGGAGATGTGCACCAAAGGCCTTGGGACACAGACTGATGTTCTCCGGGTGAGTGGACCTCATTTTTTCAACATACTGACATAGACAGACATGTGTTTTTCTAAAAATGCTTCATTTTGGTTTGCAGAAGTTTGGTTTGTGTTTCTGTGAGAACCTTTCATTAGGACTTGATTTTTGGGGGATGTTGAGATTGCTGTAAGTTTCAGTTCTCGTGTTTCTGGTGAAGAAAATCAAGAAGTCTTATGTGTTCAGCTTGTTTGTGCCACCTCTGTGCTGCTGCTTCTGAGATTTAGGGCAAAATATAGTGTAAGCCTATCAACTTGCTTGTGTCTGAAACAAAAAAAAAACTAAACAAAAAAACCCCAAACCATAAAACACCAACAGAAGAAAAAAGCCCAAAGTCTTACCAAACAATGAAATCCTCTCCCTCAAACAACCAAAACAAAAAGCCCCCAAAACCCGGCAAGTCTCACTTGCTTTCAGATTACTTGATACCAAAAGTGTGGAGTTCTGAAATGGATATAATCTTCCCCAGCCCTGGGAGTGTTCCAGGCCAGGTTGGATGGCACTTGGAGCAATCTGGACTAGTAGAAGGTGTCCCTGCCTGTGGCAGGGCGTGGAACTGTCACCAAAATCAGGAGTAAACTCCTTTGCAACAACTTTTCAGGAACAAAGAAATTCGTGCTGATTGATCACAAGTTACCTAACTCTTAGTAATTAGTGTTCTGTCCTCTATTGGTTGGTGATTATCTTGCTTCTTATGTTAATTAGCCCACTTTTGAGTCAGTGGCTTCTTGGGGGTCTTCCATGGGAGTTTTGGATGGTCTCTGGTGGACCATTGAGGTTGTTGAAAAGGTGTCCCTTAGTGTCCTTTCCATGAACTTTGTGTCTTCCTTCTGTATAGGATCTTGACTTAGCTCATTACCTCCTCTGCAAAGACTATCAAGTTCTTTATCTTGATCTTGGTTGACTTCTGCTGGCTCCTCTGCACTGCTCCAGCTGGTCACAGGAGTGAAAATTTATGTCCTTTGGTGCATTCTTGTCTGAGGCCCTTTGCAACAGCTCCCCTTTGAGACTTACTCAGTTAGTCTTAGATTAGAGAAATTCTTATAGCTGCCTTGCTAATTCTGTTGGACTTGATGATCTTGGAGGTCTTTTCCAGCCTGGCTGATTCTATGATAAGCCCTTCTGTTGTGCAGATTAAAACTGTTTATTTCTAGAATTGTTGCTTCAAACTGATGCTGTTCTTCTCTTCACCTAACCTCCCAGATGAAGGGAGTTAACCTGTCCTGCGTGCGGACCTGCATGGTGGTTGCAGAGGAGAGACCGCGGATCACACTGACCCAGTCCTTCTCCAAGCTGTTCAAGGACCTGGGTCTCTCTGCTCGTGCCGTGAGCACTACCTTTGGGTGCAGGGTCAATGTAGCAATCTGCTTGCAGGTGAGATTAAACTTCTTACTCCTTACACGGAGTCTCTGGGAACTGGGTAGGAAATCATATATGGATCTCTTTTCCTAACGAATCAGAGCTCCCTTGCTTACTTAAGCACCGAGTTAAATAAGCCTTGAGGATGTGGATTATCTGTACTAATCTGTACCTTTTCTGTACTAATTGAGCAATTGATTTGCCTTTCTAATCCAGAGAGTCAGGATTAAGCAACTTGTTTCCTTTCTAGTATGCAGGAGCAATATAAACAGCCTCCTGTTCATAAGTGCTAAACATTACAAGCAGTACTATTCCTGCTTCTGTGTGATCCAGAGTTTGTGTGAAAAATAACTTTGTGTATAATGTGGAATTAAATGGAAAACAGAGTTCCTCAAGTAAGACACAGGAAAACTGAAAAGGTTGGCAGGTTTTCTTTTTGCTTTAAAAGATCTCAAATGAGTTTTATCAGCATGAAAATATGTTTGTCTCACCTCATGTGAGAGCTGGAACTTTTTTTTAACTAAACCTATAAAACTAGCAGCTTTGAGGGGGGAGGATATGCCCACAAAGTACACAGATCTGTTTCACACTCAGAGATAACAACATGCTGTGGGCCAGAATCACCTTTGGCAGTTTAGTATTCAGCTGCTAATATGTGTAATTTAACTAGATTAAATCTAACCTTTCTTAATTAGATGTTTCCTTTCTAGTCAAAAACCTTCTGCAAAACTTGGGGTTTCCTTTTTTTTCCTTCCTGGTGCCCTCGAGATGAGGAAAAGCCTTTTTCCTCTCAGAATATATTGTCATGTTCTGGGTTTTGTACAAGGGAAATGTCCTGGGACATGACTTTCTTAAATGTGTTGCCCTTGACAACTGTTTCTTTCACAGTTAAAGGAGAAAAGGTTTTAACAAGCACTAGCTAAATGGCTATAAAGAAATGTGGCCAGAGGGTTTGTATGAATCAGTAGACAGAAAAAGGGGAAGTATCCACATGAAGTCAAGATGACTGTAAACTGAGATTTTAAATTCATTGACTAACACATTTCAGCTGCCAAGTGTGACAGAACAACTTCCTGACCTGCCTGTGCAAGGAAGAGAGACCCTTGGGACATTCACTGTTCAGACTGCACAAAGAGGGAGGGAACAGTTTTTCTGCAGGATGTTGAATGGCAACATGAAAAGTACTCCCAAAACCCATGAGGAGTGTAGGACTGCTGGGCAGTTAAGCTTCCCCTTCATTTTATGCCTTTTTCACCTCCATTTTCCATTCTGGAGCCCTTTTTTTGGCGGGGTGGGGAGGGTAGTTTTACCCCTTTCCTCCATTCTTCCAGAGTGATACCTGTATTAGCCTCTTTTAATTCCTCAGGTTTCAGTTCATGTAGAAGAATGGCCAAACTGAGTGGGTGTTTGAAGTTAGCATGTTTAAGCTTCCCCTTCATTTTATGCCTTTTTCACCTCCATTTTCCATTCTGGAGCCCTTTTTTTGGCGGGGTGGGGAGGGTAGTTTTACCCCTTTCCTCCATTCTTCCAGAGTGATACCTGTATTAGCCTCTTTTAATTCCTCAGGTTTCAGTTCATGTAGAAGAATGGCCAAACTGAGTGGGTGTTTGAAGTTAGCATGTCAATAGAGACAGCCTCCAGCCCTGCTGAACGGTTGGATGGGGAGGTGTTTCTGAAGCTGCAGGCAGCCTTGCAGGGGGAGGCAGGAATTGTGACAAAAACATGTATGAGCTACCTTGACCCTCTTGCTGTTCAGTAACTGGGACTTGCATGTTTCCCAAAGAACCTCCTGAAACTGCCAGGCTCTGAAGTGATCTGAAATGGAAATTTTCTTTTCACTCTAAAACAGTATGAGTTTTGTTTTCTGTCTTACTGTGTGTATCTTGTGTTTCCAGTGCCTCTTTGTTTGTATTTTCTTTTTTTTCCCCTTTCTCTCTGTTTCACACACTTTGATGGCCTCTGTTACTTCTGTTTGTGGTCCTGCTGTCAGCCAAACAGGCTGGGCAAGCTGGCTGAACAGGTATAGTGCTGCATGTGTGCTTGTCATGTCTAAAGTCCATCTGCTTCTGCAGTGTTAGGAGTTAGATCCACAGAGGTTTATGCTTTCAGCCTTTGCACTTGCTGTGTAGGTTTTAGAGCAGGTGTTTACCCAAGTAAAATCTTAAAAACTTAATTTTGCATTTGAAAATTTGAAGAACTTAGGCTTACCTGTGTAAACACAAAGTTCTCTTGTGCATTCATTGGCTGGTTCAACAAGGAGCAGAGCTTTGCAGCAGTCGCTATATGGGGGGCTATATGTCATGTAGGTTAGGGAAGTGCTTTAGAAGTGCCAGTAAAAAGAGGAGAGAAATTTGTGAATTTTTGTGGCTGTGAGAATGAAAGCAGCACTTCTAGCTTCTGTTGATTTTGTTTCTTCCTCCCTATTCTTAGGGTACAGCAGGACCAGATCCAACAACAGTCTATGTAGATATGAGAGCACTTCGACATGACAGGTACAGACTCTATTGAAGCATTAACTCTTTAATGGCTGTAGAGGAAAAAACCTCACCTTCATTGCATTGATTTGCTGGAATATTCTTGGAAGCAGCCAGCTGACTTCCTGCCATGTTATATACCTGACCTCTTCTCCTCACGGTGTGCAATTCCAAGAAATCTGGGTCCATCTGCTCTCCAACTAGCCTTTAGGTAGTGAAGAAAGTACAGTTAGTCTCCCCTGGTCTTTTTTTTTGTTTGTTTTTTCCCCCCTTCAGACCAAACAAACTCCATTCCTTCAGCATTCTCTGGGCTCCATTGTGTCACTTAATTCCATTTAGGCTGTTTGCTCTAAACTTTTTGTGATTCCGACTGATTCTCTGCCATAGTTCAGTGTGACAAATAGAGGTCCAGGAGAATCCAAAAAAGAATCCTTAGGGCTCTGTTGGAAAAAGTTACTCATCTTCCCAGAGAGCTGAGTTTCAGATTCTTAAAAGAAACATGCTCTATGGGAATGCTAATACAGAAGTCTTGAAGACAGAAAGTAGAAACCTGTAACTGTCTTACTGCTTTGTGAATAACTGAGCATCATTGGCTGACTCATCACAGCTTGGACAGTGCAGCCAAGGAAAAGGTAACTGGATGTACTGGACCGTGTCTGTTTAACTTTCATTTAAGTTCTCAAAGTCTTATACAAATGTATCCTCTTATTTTCTCAGGGTGCGTTTGGTAGAGAGAGGTTCTCCACACAGTCTGCCACTTATGGAGTCTGGGAAGGTGAGAGACCCAGAGCAATCCTTCCTCCTCCTACAGTCACAGAATCCAAGAATGGTTTGGGTTGGAAAGAACTTTAAAGATCATCTTATTTCAACCCCCCCTGCCATGGGCAGGGACACCTTCCACTAATCCAGGTTACTCCAAGCCCCATCCAGCCTGACCTTGAACCCTCCCAAGGATGGAGCAGCCACAGCTTCTCTGGGCAATCTGTGCCAATGCCTCAACACCCTCACTGGGAAGCATTTCTTCCTAACATCTAATCTAAACCTACTCTTTCACATTAAAGGCATTATGACCCTCAATATGTCCCCATGACCCTTACCTGGGCAGTGAGCTGCTTCACCTGGATCTCAGTGTAGAATATGTGTGACAAGCTTCACTAATCACAGTGTATCCAGGAGAGCATGGAATGACCAGGTAGTTAAAGTGAAGGCAGATGCAAGACATGAAGCAATATGATATGTTGCTACCACTGAAAAAAAATCAGAGGCCCTCATGTAGAGGGCATTTTCTAGGTGTGAAACCAACTCTGAAGCTGCCAAACAGCTGCTCAGAGTTAAAATGATTACACAACTTGGTAAGAAGAGATGGTTGATATCTGGTGCAGAGAGGAGGAGCAAGGGAAGCACAGACTGTTGACTTCTGTGGCTCAGCCTTATTAATTGTTCTTTTGATGAATTCAAGTTTTCTTAACTTCTCTTGGCTTTTTATTTCTAGATTCTTCCTGGAGTAAAGGTCATCATAGCACACACAGAAACCAAGGGACCTCTGGGAGACTCGCATTTAGGAGAGGTAGAGCTTTGGAGCTGTTGTACTGTGTTTGTCAGCAGTGATTTGATCTGTAGAAACCTCCTGTTAGATCAGTGCCTGCCCCTGAGTGGGAACAATCACCTCAGGGTGGTGTGTGAATGAACGCACAGAGAGCTGGAACTGTTTAGATACCTGTATATGTACTTTCTGAACCTGTCTCTATGGCTGCATGACTTCCCTCCTTTGCCAAGCCACGGCATGCCACTGCCAGATGAGACCAGGTGAGTAGTCTGTGGCAACTAGAACAGGTAGTGATGTGCTCCCATCAGTGGGCAGCAGCAGTAAGGTAAATTTGCTGTTTGGTTTTACCTTTGTTTTATAGACATCTGCACTGTTGTGTGCTAAGATACCCAACTAACAGCTTAACAGGTGTTCCTTTCCATTGAGCTAAATGCCTGGTTCATTTTCCCTCTTCACCATCTCCCAGTTACATGTATATAAAACTCCTTTTCCATGGTTATTTTCTGTGAGGCAGAAGTTCATGATTTTAATCAAACTGGCGTTTTGGGAGCAGCCAAAACTGTCAGTGAAACAGATCTTTTCAATCAGGAAGTGATGCTGCCTGAGTCTGGCAGAATAACCCATGTTGATATCTCTATCCCTTTTGGATTTGTTTTATCCCCTAGATATGGGTCAGCAGTCCACACAACGCCACTGGTTACTACACGGTGTACGGAGAAGAAGCACTGCACGCCGATCACTTTACTGCTCGCCTGAGCTTTGGGGACACCCAGACCACGTGGGCCCGGACTGGGTACCTGGGTTTCCTGCGCAGAACAGAGCTGACCGATGCCAGTGGAGGTGAGAGAACATTGTACCTACAGAGGCACCTGCCTGAGACTCCTCGGGGTAGCTGAGCTAGCACTGTTTGTCCTGACTTCCATCAGAGAAAAGTGCTGAATGGAACAGGACTTGTTTTATCAATCAAGAGCTTCAACACATGCACAGATACCAGCAATTCCACAGCCTTTGAGAAGTTAAACATCTAGAGGAGAAATTTCTCCCTGTTTTTTCCAGTATAGAAAATAAATTGCTCTTTTTCAATTGAAGCCATGATGTCTAAATTTGGAAAACGAAAGCAAGTGGAAGACAAACTGCTCTTTTTTCCATTGAGACAGAATACAAAGTGGGTATAACGCTTGGTTATCAGACACAAAAATAAAATAGTCTCTAAACATCCTAGGGCAAGGAGTTTGAATGCTTCTAACTCATTAGCAAATGGTATGTTGCTAATTTTCTGTGATTGGACTTAAATGAATGATGGTGTCCACATGGGCTGTTGTCCCGATTGCTGCTGCTAGGCAATAACAGCAGCTCCTTGTGCCTTGCAACTGTCTGAAAAATCCCGTATCGTAGAGATTTTTATCACTATGGAACAGTGTCAGTTGTCTTTTAGTTTGCCAGCATTTGAGAATCTGAACAGGGAATTAACATGCACTACATACAGCTTCCCTGCATGCTGCTCATCCCCAGTGACATGGCTGAGCAGAATTATGGAACAGTGAGCAAAGAAAAATTAAAGTTGAACTGAACAGACTTATAGGATGAATGTGGAGAGTGTGTCCTTTCAAGAAGGATCTAGGAGAGCTTAGCTTATTTAGCCTGGCAAAGCTGAGGCTGGCAAGAGAACAGAGTTGTTTTCACTGCATAAACTATGGGAGCTCAAGAAGGTGAGTAGAATTTTGCTGGCATGAGGACAATTGGGTATCAGCTGGTTTTAAAAAGGAAAAAAAAAGAGTTAAATTTGGAAATTGGAAACATGATAAGAGGAGGAAAGTTCTCTGGTAAGAATACTGGGACAAAAAATGCTTTAACGATGGGTTTTGATTGGGTTTGTGCACTGAGATTGCATTACGTGAGAGAAGGGGCAGAACTGAACGACTCAGAAATGCTTTACAGTCAGTTTTCATTTACTTGGAGTCAGCAGGCAGAAGTGCTACATGAGTTCTTAGTTCTCTCCAGGTGCTAAAGCTTGATGTGTATTGTAGATTCTTCCCCCTGGGAAGCATTGGGAACATCTTAGAACACCAGAAATAAGCACATGCACATGACTGGTGAGACACTGGCACAGGTTGCCCAGGGACGTGGTGGCTGCCCTGCCCCTGGCAGTGTTCAAGGCCAGGCTGGATGAGGCCTTGAGCAACCTGATCTAGTGAGGAGGTGTCCCTGCCCAGGGCAGGGGCTGGGACTGGATGATCTGTAAGATTCATTCCAACCCCTAAATTCTGTGATTCTATGACTGTGTCTGTCCTGTAGATGTGATGATGTTCAGATGTGTGTGCTGTGTTGCAGAGAGGCACGATGCCCTGTACGTGGTAGGCTCTTTGGATGAGACACTGGAGCTCAGAGGAATGAGGTACCATCCCATTGACATAGAAACCTCTGTAATAAGAGCACATAAGAGCATTGCAGAATGGTAAGAACCTCAGCATTACTGTTCTGTATCCTTTTCTTTCTTCAAAAGCAGAAGAACTTGCAACTTCCTTGGCTGTGTCAGAATGTGGGTGTGGTGAACACATCTCAAGGATTTAATGGGTGGTGTCTTCTATCGTTCCCATGTGATCCTAAGGAATGGTGTATGCCATTGCCTGTAGGTCCTCTCAAGTCTCCAAGCAGTCCTGTTTACTTGTAGGCTTTAGGAGGTTTTGTCCTGCTGTTAATAATCCCTTGCAATGACCATCTTCCTTTGACTAGGTGTTTTTTGCTCCCCACTGATATTTCTCTCATGCCAACAGTGCTGTGTTTACGTGGACGAACTTGCTGGTGGTGGTTGTGGAGCTGGAGGGCTCGGAGCAGGAAGCGCTGGATCTGGTTGCGCTGGTAACGAACGTGGTTCTGGAGGAGCATTATCTCATTGTCGGCGTCGTGGTCATCGTGGACCCTGGTGTCATTCCCATCAATTCCCGCGGTGAGAAACAACGGATGCACTTGAGAGACGGATTCTTAGCTGACCAGTTGGATCCTATTTATGTTGCCTACAACATGTGAAACCAGAAAATCACATCAAGGCTAAAGCACTAAAATACAAGGGACTTTCTTCATAACAACATCAGAATTCGTCTTCTGTGTTCTACAAAGCTGTTGAAGACCTTAGGAAAATGGAGATACTAATCTTCACAGACCTTCATCTCCTAGATTACATTTGCTTTCATAAGTCCATTGTAACAGTTATAGCTGTCTTAGGATGGAGGGTTTACTGGAATTCCTGAAGGAAGCTTATTAGAACTATCATGGACCAATTTATTTTTTTGGGGCAGGGGAGGGAGTAATGATGAATGTCAGTACTTGATGCACTGCATAAGAGGACACAGAGCAGGTTGGGGAGAGAACACCAGCTGTGAGGAGGACTCCTGGAACTAACAGCACAAGTTGTGAGTAACCACCCGGTGCTCACCCTCCGTGTGGCTGTTCGCAATAAATCGGCAGTATTGGGGTTGGGACATAACCTTCAAGATTGCACACACCTCTACCACATTCTCTACTGTACTCAAAGGAATTTTGCACATGTTTGAGAGTTAAAAATACAGCCTTCTGACTCATCCCAGTCCTGGAATCAATGGAACAGTTCTGCTGCTGTTCAGCTTTTTTGTATCGAGCGCAAACAAATAGTGCAACTGTAATGAGGTTACTTATGGTGCCATGCTGGACTCTGTAAGGCTATACACTTTATAATAAAACACAAAGTAATACCCAGTTTTAAGTGCTTGGTGACAGGAGCTCTCACTGCTCCTGCTGTCGTAACTCCCTGTCAATGTCACTTGCTTTCGTAGCGTCAGCTGTTAATTCCCACCCTGCAGAATGCCAAGGATTTGAAAATTCATTCCAAAGCCACTAGTCTATGAATGACTTGTACAAGTGTTTACAAAGCATGGGCTTACAATAGGTTTTCCCAGGATATCCTGTGCTAAAACTTATGATAGTGACTTTTTTTTCCCACCATGGATAAGCTATTCAATGTTAGTTAGCTTGAGCTGCTGTGGTACAACCTTTCCTTATTTTCTGTAGAGTTACATTTGACTCTTGGTCAGGCTGAAATACCCAATTGTCTGAGTCACACCTGACTAAGGTTTTGAAGTTTCTGCCTGATCTAATAATGCAGTGAACCTGATGCAGAAAGAGAATATGAGGTTACCCAAGTGCTTCATGTGTTTGAAGGTAAGCACAAGACTCTTTTTATAGATTTGTTAAAGGCTTTTAAGCTGTGTCATTTTTTTGTTAGTAATGCACAGTTTGGCAGAAGAGGCAGGTTTTTTTGCAAGTCAGTCCTGCCTGGGTCAGTGCCTAGGAAAGAAAGAAAGAAAGGTGTCCCCTGACATACTGAATTTACTCATGATCGAATAAACTCTGAAATCTTTAAGGAAAAGCTTTCCTGTACTGTAGTTATCTGCCCTGGTGATGTTTGCCTGTCGTGTGTTATACAGCTGCATACTCTGTAATTCTGTACAGAACTTGTGTCACTTGCTGAGTGCAGCAGCCTCGAGCAGCAGGCTGTGGGACACCCCTCACGCACACACAGCTGGTAGAAGGAGAGAACTCCAGAACCCCCAGTTCAGTGGTGTAGTTTTTTTAGCAGAGAGAAAGCATTGTAAGATTTTTGTATTGAGGTATCAATGGCAGTGAGACAAGTTGCCTTGTAAAGTAAACCTTCAAACAAAAAACTCATTAAACATTTCTGAACAGCTCTTGACAATCTGACTTGGTGAATGTTAGATCCAAACCTTGGCTTAGCACAGTTTGCACAAGTGTTTTGGACAGTTTAATGCCTAAAGAGCTTTTTTTGCAAAATTTCATTACAATTGCTTTACAGTTAAAGCAGCTTCAAAGCCTGGATGGTCCTGAATTCCCTGTGTTCAATACCCAAACTGAAACACTCCCTGGGCTCAGGCCCACACACCCCCAGCTCCAAACAGGACAGTTTTGATTTTCACAAATTATGCATCTTCATTAGATTTTCGAGAACTCATACACATATGCTAATTATTTCCCCAAAGTCATTATAACATCCTCACTCTTCTCACACTGGCACAGCCAATTGAGGCCGTGGTTGTTGAGGGTTTTCTGTGATGCACGATGGTCATTCCACAGACTTCATCACTTGTCCTCTGGAAGAGTCCTCCTGCTTGGCACACACATACTCCTTCTTGTCACCTTTCCAACCCCCATGGCTAGTTTAGTCCTTTCTCGTTTGGGGGAGTTTGTCAGTCTCTTTCAGCCTTGTGCTTATCTTCTTACTCTCTCAGAGACAATGAGGGTCTCTCAGTAAATCCTACTCGTGCAGACACGGCAAATTCCTGCGGGCATAGCTCATCAAGCATAGCAAACAGGCCCAAAGCAAAAAAAAGTACAGCTACTACTATGGTTTTAAGTATATGTAACTCTATATATGTAGCTCTGCTCTCATGACATGAGACCCACCTGGAATACTGCACACAGTTCTGTGCCCTCAACGTAAGAAGGACATGGAACTGTTGGAGCAAGTCCAGAGGAGGCAACAAAGTTACTAAGAGGACTGGAGCATCTCCCCTGTGAGGACAGGCTGAGGAAGTTGGGGCTGTTCAGCCTGGAGAAGAGAAGACTGCGTGGAGACCTCAGAGCGACTTTTCACTATCTGAAGGGACTACAAGGAGCTGGAGAGGGACTCTATTTGGAACTTCAGTGACAGGACAAGGTGCAATGGGTTCAAATTGAAGGAGAGGAAATTTAGGCTACATATTAGGAGAAAGTTTTTCCTGTGAGGGTGGTGAGACACTGGCACAAGTTGCCCAGGGACGTGTTGGCTGCCCCAACCCTGGGGGTGTTCAAGGCCAGACTGGATGAAGCCTTGAGCAGCCTGTTCTGGTGGGAGGTGTCCCTGCCCATGGCAGAGGGTTGGGACTGGATGATCTGTAAGGTCCATTCCAACACCTATGATTCTGTGACAGCCTCCAGCAATCTTACCAGGCTGACCCAAAGCAGCAGCAGCAGGTGGAAAGGCTGTAAAAATCCCTAAAATACCTCACAGGGAGCTAGAGTGTCTGCTTTAATTTTTATCCAAACAAAATTGCATAGTGCAGCAGCATTACTCCAGAGTATGTTTCCAGCTGGAATTCCTTCTCTGCTGCAAGGTTCAATGCAAACTTTTGGGTGCAGCAGGCAGGTCAGACTGCTGAGGTCACCTGCAGCCAGCATAGTGTGCAGGATACTCTGTGGTTACAGGCCATTCCAGCCTGAGAACAGGGCTCTGCTGGGTTTTTCATGTCATCTACATTTTTTAACGAACTTCCAGGGGTTCCTGAGCAAAGCACCTGCTTTTACTCACATTTTCAGAAGGATGCTTGTTTATGAAAAGAAATTAAGTTGTAGATTCTTAAATGAAGGCAAAGGTTTTGTTTGACAAGGCAAGAGAGATGAGGTCCCTACAGATTCATTCATACCAGCAGGAAGTTGAGGGAACAAGCAGGAATTGCTCCTGCAGAACATGGTGTGTGTGTAAAAGCACTACACATAGCAAGGTGATGGCACCTTGGAGCCTCTACTGATTTTCTCACTGTTCATTCCAGCTTGGCACCCACACAGTGCTGTGTGTGATGTGCATTGGAAGCACAGTGGGTTTAGTGCCAAAGCATCTGCACTCACCTTTCCCACAACTCATGAAGACAGGAGTCTGCTTGTAATTTGCCTGAACCGGGATGAGTGTGCTGTTTTGACTCCCAGCTCGTGGTAAAAGTACCAGAATGATTTGGGGGTTGATTTTTGTCTTTACCTGATTTGTGGAGATGCAAAATGACCTAGTAGAGGAACTCTAAGCCGTATGACCTCCTGAGCTCGTGTGCTGCTGTAGCTGACTCGCTGGGGGAAGGGGCAGGGTAACACCACAGGCTGCTGCTGGAGCAGAGTGTTCCAGATCTATTCTGGGGTGCAAAATTGGACTGCAGTGAGTACTGAAAAACTTTGCAGGCATTAATGAAGCTGCATTTACTGCAGTAGTATTCTTTGTGAGCCAGCACTTTGTACTGACTTCTTGAAGGTTTTATGTCATTTCAGCAACAGGACTATGACGTTGCTTTAAGGCCCTTATTTACTGCTGGTTGTTACCCAGGAATTCATCATAGCAGAAAAAAAAGGAAGCACTGTTCATTTTTAAGTGCACATTCCAAGGGTTCTGTACCAAGTCCTTGAATATTTTCATGCTGTTTCTGTGCCATGGTGTGAAAATACCTATTATAAATTTCAGGATCTCTTTGGATCTGGGTTTGGTTTCTATAGAGTATCTGAACTCTGGTTTAAGGGCAAAAAGGGAAAGCTGCACACTTACAGTGTTACAGTATCAGGTCAGAGACTGCCTTAGATGACAGAGCTGGATACATCTAAGAGCTAATTTACAGCTAGCAAAACTGCTTTAAATAGCCCTTTAACTTCTTGCACCTCGGGATTTGCTTGATGCTGAATGTACTGAGATACAATGCCTAGTACTGACCCGACCTTTATATTCAGCTGGTTAATACACTTTAAATCTTCATGTGGTCAGACATTTTCAATGAGATTTTTCCAAGCCAGAATTCCTTGTTGTGGCCAGTACTAGTGTGAGTTTTTGCTCCAGTAATTAGACTTTGTGTTTAGATTCTACGTGATTTTCATGTTGTTGAGGAGGACCTAGGCACACCAGGTTTAATTTCCAGTTGGGTTGTGCCAGTGCCATATAAGCAGAGTTCCATCTTTTTTTTTTTGTATTTCGATACATGTTATTGAAGTAATATATACCACTGGCTTTTCCTCCAGTATTTTAACCCTGATCTCACCTCAACATAACAGTTTGCTTATGGGACTGATAAACATTGGCTTTTTTTCTAGCATTCCTTAAAATTTACCTGGCAAAGGTAACTGCAAAATCATGATTTGTCTTTATTTGGATACCTAGGAAGCTGAACATGAGCCAGCAGTGTGCTCAGGTGGCCAAGAAGGCCAATGGCATCCTGGCCTGGACCAGGAACAGCGTGGTCAACAGGACCAGGGAAATTATTCTGCTCCTGGACACGGTGCTGGTGAGGCCACACCTTGAATCCTGTGCTCAG